ATCTCTCCCTCGTTTCTGACGCCAGAGGTTCGCGTACGGCTTCTCGAAGACAGCAAAACCGTACGCGTGTTTGTGTAAAACAAACGGGCAAGCCGATCACTCTTGCTTTTCACCTGGCCGCTTGACAAAGATCCCACCGATCTAGGACGAACGATCTACGATGCGAGATTAGATCGGTCTTCTTCCACGTTCGGCATCGTGCGCGTGTGTAACAGAGTATTGTTCGCCTCGTTCCAAGGTAATTGGCGAATGCTCTTCCTAAATTATTTCATCGTCAGCCGACGATGTTAAATCACTGGCTTTGCGCCGGCGTTCAGGAGAAAGTTGAAACGGTCGAAGAACTATGACGTTCCCCTGCTGCTTCCGTATTTGCTGCGCGAGCCACCGTTCCGTCGGAAACGAATACCAAAATCACGAATAAAGGAATTATAGCGAGCGTACTCTCACTTTTCACCTTCATCTCAGGAGGAGAAAAACTCGCGAACACACACACACACACACACACACACATTCCTTTCCTCGATTGGTTTGTAACGATTCGCTCGGTCCAAGACCGGTGTTAATGTACGATTAGTGGGCCAGTGTCAGTCAACGACATCGTTCTGACGGTTAACCGGCAGATTTAAAGCCAAGGAAGGAGGCTGACTACCGTGCCGGTTGCCGAATGCCGCGCACGGTGAACCACACACACGGGGGCCACTGGCCAATATTCGGGCCAATGTTAACGTTGGCCTCTATGTCGATTGCCTAACAGCGACTCGAGTCACAACACAACCTGATAATGAGAATGACGAGAAGAAACTTTCGTACACGAAAAAGGCTTTCGTTACTCAACGTAATTCTGCGTAATGATCTTAACTTAGCCAGAACTACCGACTTAAATTAAAGCATAAAATGCCCATCAGAAAGTATAGAAAAATGCAACAACTTTTATTTATACGAAAACTCATTTAAATCTACATTAAATGTTAAAAATACTGGTGTGGCTCAAGCAATATCTTCGATTCGAGACGCTTGAGTTTGAGAGGTATAATGACCGCGTGGGGGTGAAGTATAGTGAAATGCAACGAGATGAAACGAAAATAATACGATTCCGATAGGAGATCGGAAGTCGTGATAAGTGGACTGTATAATTGCAAAGAATGTTCGTACTGACTGATTTGTAATTGAATATCGTACTGATCGGTACGTTGCAGTAATTTTTCTCGCACTTGATTGTTGCCCTGAATTTTATCGCACTGTCTTGTATTGATAATGCACATTAAACTCCCCACTGGCGACGGGCCTGCTTTATAGAAATGTGATGGCAAGTGCTAACCAATCACTTTGAAGCTTTGAGTTGTTTGATTGCCCTAACATAATTCCTCAAAAAAAAAAAAAAAAAAAAAAAAAAAAAAAGGT